CGGCTCGGACACAGACAGGATCTATCCTGTCAGCGTACGAGTACGGACACCCTCACCCGCACGGACGTGCAGGGCGGTTGAGCGTAGGGCGGCGTACGGCGGCGTACTCCCATAGAGAAGGACAGGGGCTGTGTACTAATCACACGTAGCACCTGTCCTTCCCGGGAGCTGCCTGATACGGCCGTGCACGCAGCATGGATCTGTACATGCCAGCCTTTTCTCGTGTGAATGAGGCCTTCAGCTTGCTGCTGGTCAATTTTTTCTGAAGCATGTCTGGGACAGTACGGTTTTATTTTTAGGGCTTGTTCACACCAATTGTGGTGCATTCCAGAGCGGTAGCTGATGGAACACACCGCAATCGCTCACAAAACACATGCAAATGGGTAAATAGGGATACAGCAGGGGTTTGCATCTGGTGTGATGGTGTGCTGTGTTTTATGCACACTGAGGAGAATTATGCACACTGAGGAGAATTCTGCCTGATCCAATTTTGATCAATTCCCCTAACGTTATTTTTACACTGGTCTCCAAAAAACGGCAGCTCTTGAATGGACTCTGCAGAATGTCAAAACGACAGGCTTTCTTCAGCGAAACAGAACATACAAAGCAAAAGTCCTTCCACAACAGTGCACAGCCTTGTGCTTTTTGGTGGTCTCACCTAGACAAAGTCTGTCTGCTTCTGAGCAGCCACACACAGGGGTATCTCTCTCTCCCTCTCTCTCTCTCTCTCTCTCTCTCTCACACACACACACACACACACACACACCCAAGTTAACCCCTTTTTAGCTCTCACCCACGTTGACTCTCCACAATATATATATATATAAATCACCCCAATCTAAAAGTTATCTAAAAAAGGGAGAAGACCCAAATTAATGGAAGAAAGTAGCAAAGGATGACAATTGAAGAGCTACCTATCAATCAGTGGTTGCGAACAGATATTGGTCTTTAAAAGGATTTTTGGGTGTAGAAATCTGTGAACGCAGGCAGGGCACATAAAAGAATGCACCCCAGCACTTTAATTCAAAGAACTCAAGCATGGTTTGTTTAAGTAGATGTAAATCCAATCACACTAAAATATCATAAAAGCTTTAACATGATAATATTACTTGGAAAGTTTTAGTTTTCTTTTTTTTTATCACTAGCATTCATAAAAGTCATGGCACAAAGGTCCTTGTTGTAGCACTTTGTGTTATGTGGTGACAACTGATATATAAGAATCCTTGTTTAGGGGGACAAACATTACCTCAACTGGTGCAATGCAAATTGGCTTTTTAATTTTATAAGATGTGTAGAAAAATGAAAGATAGAAGCTAATTGGTTGCTATTTGAAACCGTACCAGTTGAGACAGAACTTTTTATTAATTCCCCATTTGTGTTATGTGGTAAAAACGCTTGGTAAAGGAAACTGTATCCTGCTGTGCTAATTTACCTAGCCCACTGTTGTCAACATTTAAAAAAAGTCCTGTGGAAAAAATAGTCTGCACTGACAGGCAGTCCCACTCCGGAAGATATAGGTATAGGTCCCCACATGTTAACATGGAAACATGGACAATGTCATTCTATTCCCCCTCCTCTGCCTTGGTCTTAATGGTATGTCATCTGACCTTTTCTCCATCTCTAATAGGACCAGGCAGGTGTGCCCAGTGTCCCAGCTCATATAGACCATAGAACTTCTTCTCCGCAGTATTCAAGGCAATTCCGCTGGGCCCCCATCACCACAAACTTGCTGCATATGTGGATGATTTTCTGTTTTTTCTCACTGTCCCAGACATTTCTATGCTAAGCCTTAAGGTGCCCATACACTGCACGATTCTCGTACGAGAATCGCGGGCAATCCCGCGATCCTACGAGAATCTTGCAGTGTATGGAAGGCGTGCGACCGTTTCTACTGTACGGTCGCACGTCTTCTGTCGAACCAGCATGCTAGAAAACCCGCCGGGAATCGTACGATTCTCGGCAAGTTAGTGGCCTGCTGGTTCGACAACTGCCGAACGGGCCGGTGTGCGCG